TACAAACGGCCTGCATTATGAATCCAATCTCCATCTCTAATCTGCAGCCTATATGAATAGAATTGCATTGTTGACACACTTTTTCTTTTCTTAGAATCTATAAGGGGTATATCCACATGCCAACCATCATCACCTTGCAGAAATAACAACACATAATGAAGGAGGTCATAGGATGAATGAGTCTTCGATATTCTTTGTAGACTTCCATCGCGCATCCTAAGAACAATATCACGATTTGTTGCATGCAGCTCATGACCATCATCAAGCATGATTGCAGCAACTTCAGAAGCTGAAGGAGCATTGTATCGACAGGAATCTTGTGTTCGATCTTCATGAATGACCATTATAATTTCATCAGGCACGTTTGTTTGAATAAGATCTCTTACGCGACGAAAGTTCTGGATATATGGATTGCATTCATCCAATACGGTCAGCAGATTTTGTAGAATGGTATCATCTAAGTCCGCTATAATGTTATGATAATGTGCATTCTCATGTACAGAGTCATAGATATATAATTATGCAAATGCCGGCTGAAAACCTTCTTCTGGTAGCAACGAATCGATACGATGATAAACTTGGCCATGAATACGGAAGTCAGAAATGCCTTGTCCTGGGATCGTATTTATATTAGCACCAAACGATATACACGCCAAAATATTATTATAACGTCTAATGTTTTTTCGGAAAGAGATTGCATCAGAGTTCGATGAAGTATATAAATTCAACAAATAAGGAGGGGGTTCAACCAAACGTGGCAAACGAACTTTGCTGTGTACACAGCAAGTTGAAAATATAGGATATGCAAAAGAGCTATTCTGATTCTTTTCCTTTATCTAAAACTTAGCATCACAATAGATGCAGGTTTGATTCATTCAGCCTAAATCATTTCGTTTTATCCCATTATTTATAATTATCCTTTTACTGGTAATATTGACGTTTTGCCTCTTTCTTGAACAGACTTGATTCTCTTTAGGTAAACAATTCTGACGTATACCAG